TCCGGCACGGCCACGGCCCCGGAGGCACAAGGACTTAGCACAGAGAACCAGCCGCTTGGAGCAGAAAAGCAAATGGACTTGTGTTAAAACGCGCCACCAAGCCTGCCCGGAGGGGGAAGGGCGTTGACCAGCCCGCCCGCTCCTCTCTGGAAAGAAAGATGGCGGCCGCACGGGAGCCTTGTGGAAAGCAGGCTTGAGCCGGGCTCGGGGGAGCGGCGGGGACCTCATGGGAAGGGGGGCTTTGTGGGCCGTCCCCCACGCCCCACCGAGGTCGCCAGCTGCCCCCCACGAGCGGCTCTCCGGCACGGCCACGACTCCAGGGCACAGAAACCAATCTCTTAACTAGCTAACTTTTAATAGAAATTCTTCCAGGGTCAATAAGTAAAATAGCAGAAATTCAAAACCGCGCGACATCATTTTATTCTTAAACCAAGTTGTAGAAAGCGAATCATTCCGCAACGCTGTTTCAGCATGTCTGATTGGGGGGGGGGGGGTCGTAAACTCTAAACAATAATTGTGCATCTTCTATCGAAATAATCTATCTAGTCAAAGTAGATAGAGTATTAACTAGAACTCATCTGCCTCACAAAGAATTGGGAGGGGTGGGAGGTGGGGGTCTATTGGGGTTCGGGGTTAAAAATGAGTATTGGTAAAGGGAAATGTGTTTGGTATCTACATGACTGAGACCTAAACCCGAAAGCTCTGTAACTTTTCCCACAGTGATTCAATAAATAAATAAATTATAAAAAAAAAAAAAAAAACGGCTGTTCCACGGGCCTGGAGAATGAAGAGCTTTTGGCTTCTTGTTTTCCAAATGGGAAGGGAATGGATTTAGGACTGACCCTTAGTGCATCCTTTAGTGTCCATACAAGGAGGCCCAGAAAGTCCTGGGCTGTTTGTATGCTCTGGAAAGTTCTTTGGCAACATTGCCAGAGGCCTGTCTGGAGGGCAGAGTCCAGTGGAGGAAGCCATGCCTGAAGGTTACTCTGCCTGGACTCTGGCCCTGAGCGCCCTCCAGGGCCTTCTGGGTGGTTCCTATGTTCCCAGGGTCCCAGAGATCTGAGCGATGAAAGTTAGCTGATTCGATCCAGGCACTCCTCCCCTGCAGTGCTCTGTGGGAGGTGGAGGCCGAAGCGATTTCCTGCATGTTATCAACGAGCCCTGGTGTGGTGGCTGCATCTGGTCTCCTCAGACGTACCTGTAGTGACTCGCTGTGGGCCCCCAGTTACTGCTGTCTCTTTGGCCCAGGCCCTTGGAAAGGGGACATTTTGGGTCGTGTTATTTCTGATACTTCTTACCTGATCTTTAAAAGAGTTTTATGAAGATGGATGATTCTAAAATGTTGCCAAATCCCCCTTCCCTGCTTTTCTTCCTCCCTGCGTAGGTACGTGGACTCTCCAGCCCAGAGAAGCAAGCCCCCTTCTTATCTTCTTTGCTGGAGACTTTATAGGATATTTTTCACTTAAACGTAAAACCATCCCTTTGATCTTAGAGAAACAGGGCCACTCTCTGTCAGCCTTTTTTGTTTTCAAAACAGGGATGGGCCAAATCTGATAGTTTGGAGAATCAAGTTTTTCCCAGCATCACATGAAGCAGGTTAGCATTTGGCAGTGCCATTATCACAGGTTTCAAAAGGACGAGGCATGTTTGCAGAGAAGAGGCAGTAGTCACTGCCTGCATGCCCTGTCGGAGTGTGTGTGAATGTGTGTTTGTGCGTGCATGCGTGTGTGTGTGTGTGTGTGTGTTTAGCTTGGCTTCTCTGAGACTTTCATCAGGGTAAGTTTAAAAAGCTCACACAGCACTCTTTGAGTCTGCATATGTGAGCCAACTTCTAGAACAATCAGTTCTCTAGCAATGGTTTTTGGTCTTGCCAATGATAAAACCCCCGCCCATTGAGAAGTGTGTGAGTTGTGCATTTGCACTGCAGGTGTTTGGGAGGGTGTTGGTAGAAAATCACATTTTCAGAGGAAGTGGATATTTTCAGCTCTGGGCAGAGACCTCATTTTGATAATTGCAGCATTCGCACAGTCAAGTTCACAATAGCGTTGGTTCTGCTCGTGATTTGGATTTGCCTAGAGAAAAACATTTTTTTGCTTGACGCATGCGCTTTGCCCTCCTAGAAATGAATGTTCCCACTTGCCAGGAAGAGTGTGTTGCTGCCAATCGTGGGGAATGATCACTGTGTGATTGCAGTGATTGACGGACAAGCCCCTTTCGTTTCCTTGGCAGCACGACCAAGACACGCAAAGTCAGTTTCACTGGGATGTGCTGGAAGACTCAGAAGAACTTTCTGCCAGGGTTGAACACAGAGAGCTCAGTCGCTCTGTGCGATTAGGTGAAGGCATATGAAGCCATTAGGCCTTTGGCGCGGTCTGAAGTCAGGAAAGGCGGCTTGTGGGTTGAGTTGAGCAAAGTCACATGTCTCTTGTATTCTTTTTTTATTATTAATTTTTTATTTTAACGAATCACTGTGAGATACAGTTACAGACTTACAAACTTTCCTGATTGCATTTCAGTCAAATAATGTTCAAGTACCCATCCCTCCACCAGTGCCCATTTCCCACCCCCAATGTTCCCATTATCCCTCCCCCCATCCCCACCCCTCCCTACCTCCTGCCTCTGTGGCAGGCACATTCCCTCCTACTCTGTCCTTTTGGGTATTGTGGTTTGCAGTACAGGTAACAAGCACCCATCATGTTTGGTCCATAGTCTATTTTCAACACGCATCTACTATCCTGAGCGTTCCCTCCAACCATCATTTATTTAGTGCTTCTCTCTCCATCCCAACGACCTTTTCCCCCAGAGCATGAGATCGGCTATCAAGCTGTGGGGCATTTCTCCTGACCCTTATTTTAACCATCCTTTGGTGTTAGTTTCTGACTATGTTACTTCATCACAGTGGTAGGGCGTTTGCCTTGCACGCAGCCAACATGACCGACCCGAGTTCGATTCCTCCGCCCCTCTCGGAGAGCCTGGCAAGCTACCGAGAGTATCTCACCCACACGGCAGAGCCTGGCAAGCTCCCTGTGACGTATTCGATATGCCAAACACAGTAACAACAAAGTCTCCAATGGAGACGCTACTGGGCCTGCTCGAGCAAATCGAAGATCAACGGGAGGGCCTTTACTTTACTTTATGTTACTTTAAATTCCACAAATGAGTGCAGTCCTTTTATGTCTGTCCCTCTCTTTCTGACTCATTTCACTTAGCATGATACTCTCCATGATGATCCACTTATATGCAAATTTCATGACTTCATTTTTTTCTAACAGCTGTGTAGTATTCCACTGGTCTGGTTGCATTCTCGCTTTCTTTCCTGCCCTTCATTCCCAGGAAGGCAGGCGGCCTCCCCTGTCTGGCTGTGCCCCTGCCAGGCTCCCACACCAGGATGGGCACACACCCGGCGAGGTGCTCATGGGGGTCCGGTCCTGGCCTGACACTGTCTGTGTGTTTTCAGAAGGTCCAGCGGCGCTCTATCTCTCCCACCGCCTGCATTCGGTAGTCTTGAGCCGTTTTCCCCACCCCAGGGAGGTCGATGGCTATGGGCAGGTGAAGCAATGAACGAGGGCCAGGCTGGTCAGTATCAGTTGTAGTTTATTCCAATCTTGAGCCTCTGCCCAAGCCTCAGCCTGAGCCTCAGTCTCTGCTCTCTGGAGCCCCAAGCCCCCTTCAATCTTACAGTCTTAGTTTATATAGCAATCACATAGCATGGTGACACAAAGGTGGGTTGAACATTAACAAATCAGCAAAGAGAGGTAAGACCACTCCTCGAGGAGATTAACTCAAGGGTTAAATCTCACCTAAAGATATTTATTCCAGATTGCTAGGAGATCTGCTCAAGGGTGGGATCCCAACAAGAGTGTATTCTTTCCTCAGCTAGTAGTCTACTTAAATAGTTGTAGTAAGTCTAGTTCCAGTATTTCTAGCAATGTCATTCTGCATGAGCACAGTAAGAGATAAACTTACAGTTTCGTTCTTCCTGAGGAAATCTCACTATATATATATATATATTGCGAGCGGCCACCGGTCCCCCCGGACGAGGAGGGGACCGGACCCCGAAGGAGAGCGAGCAAAGGACAGCAACCCTCCGGAGAGGGGAGAGGCCCGTTTCAGCCTTTGCCCACCCTTCTGACCTCGGGGTGATTCCGGACCCCGACCGGACACCCCCCCCAACGAGAGCGAGACTGCCTGACACGCAGCGGGCACGGGGGCCCGCGGGACTGGGGGAGGTCCGTTCACATCGGGGCCACGGACGCCGGGCTGAACTCGGGCGCCTTAGGCCGGAGGTTGACAGCCACGGCTGGGACACTGCCCCCAGGTGCACGCGAGAGCCGGCGCACAGGGCCCAGGCGGACAGGGCTGGAGCGATAGCACAGTGGGTAGGGCGTTCGCCTTACAAGCGGCCAACATGGCCATCCTCAGGCCAGGTTAGTCTTCCTAGCCCAGCAGGGTCCTAGTCTCGTCATTACTTACTTTTGGATCATGACAGCATTTGTCCATAATCATGTCCTCAACTTATAGTTGAGTATCGTGGTGCTTTGGCCTGGCCTATTTCGATGCCAGGGTAGCTCACAGCTTGCCCTGGGTCCATTCAGTCCCTCGTCGGGACCCTGCTTTTGGGGTGCTAGGAACTAAAGGGCAACTGAGTCAAGAAATTAGATGCCCAGGAGTAAATATTATTCAGAGTCAATCAACTCCCAAGTTACAAAGCATAATGTTAACTGTCTTCCTGTGTCCATACAGAAAGGACATTGCTTTAAGGTAAACTATGCAAAGGACATAACTTACAATACAAGTTCAGTGTCCTTAGAAGGATCTGATTTTACAAGCTGACAGAATCTGATTAGGGAGAAAAGGTGATTAACGGACTGGGGAGGAGAGCACAGAGAAGAGTTTACAGATAAACAGAGGAATGGGAGTGACTTGGGAGCACTGTGATGGGTGTAACCTGAGCTCCTTGTGGCAGTGTTATTCTACAGCTGTCCCTCTGGCTCTTGCAGGTTGCTTCCAGCTATGCAGCGTTTTCCGGTCCCATGACATGGAAATTGACCAGTGCCTGCTGGAGTCCCTGCCCCTGGGCCAGCGGCAGCGCCTGGTGCGTCGCATGCGAGGCGAGCAGATCAAGGCATACTACGAGCGTGAGCGGGCCCTGCAGAAGCAGGGCGGCAGCCTGGGCACTCAGAAGCATGGAACACTCCAGAAGGTCCACTTCGCTCTGGCCGACATGCTCCAGGATGCCGTCATCCACCACGACGACAAAGAAGGTGCGTGACCAGGGGCGGGAAGGACTGGACGTGCTTCGTCGTGGGTTTTTATTCACTACTTTTGGGTGTGGGGGGTGTATGTGTGTGTGTGTGGGGGGGGGAATAGAAACATTTATTTAACTGGCTAAAACATTTGAGGAGGAAAAGGTCTTTTACATGAATATAATGAAAAGCCCAAATCAAGGTGGCAATATGCAAAATTTTGCTGAAATGATTATTTTTTTGAGAATTAGTTATATGAAAAGTAAGTGATTTCCTTACTAGTTGTTCATTCAAGTTGTTTAAGCAATAAAAATTTCCTCCCAATGATATCGTTTCCATTAACCAAGAGATTGTGTCTCCAAATTCATTGCTGTCACACTCATGCATCGATATTTAAAATGCTTAGATATTTGTGATGATATTAGGATTAACCCAAAATTCTTCTTATAGGATACCAGGGATCCAGCCCAGGGCTTTAATATCATGTGCTCTGCCACTAGTACATCTTGACTTCTCCAAACATAAATGGTTTTTATAAGAGTATTATATTATTAATTCTATCACATTTTACTTCTATTACGTTGCTATTAATGGTAGCCTTCTGTTTATATATATGCATATAACTTTTTTATTTTGGTGTTTACTACCCATTGTCCTATGTTCTAATGTTAGAAACTTTACAGCTTTAAGAATAAATGACATAATTTTCAAAGAAACATATAAACTAAATTACCTTGATTGTCTCTAATGCCAGTGGTTGAATTCATCAAAAACAGACATTCAAAGCGTAGAGCCATAATCTGTTAACCACTTTTCAACATCAAAGCATGTCTAAAACCAAGTTATTTTGGCCACTCGTTAAGGATTAAACTGTCCTTGGATGCTTATATTCTTTCCCCTGTTCGATCTGGAAGGCAATAAACTTAGTGACACACAATTTCAAAGCATCCCAACAGTGCCTGTATGTCTTTATCTGAGCCACCTCATCACAGTCACTGCTTTAATCGGACTGTCACCATCGTTCTTTTCATGGTGTTGTGTAGGTTTGCTAGACAAACTCCAGTCCTCAGAGCTGTTCAGAAAGGTTTGGGTTAGGAAGTGCCCCGGCTCACTATACCCCTAACCCCACTCCCCACAGAGGTGCCCGTGAGGAGTTTACCCCTGGTCATGGCTGGGACATGGCTACAATGAAAGAAGGCAGATACAAATGTGAGGCTGATTTCAGGGTCACGACAGGAGAAGTGTCACGTGCAGCCTTTTGGAATGGCTGGTTGGGTGTATTTGCAGAACCAACAACTACACAGGAGAGGCTGCGAAAGAAATTGAGAATCATAAATGATAAACATCGACCCCAGAGGCAACCATTTTAGGGGTACGCACTGTGCTGTTCCGCCAGGTGTCACAGTGTCTGGGGGGATGTTGGGGTTGTGGTCTGGGAGGACCTTTTTATTGGTGGTCTTGGAGGAAACCTCCATCCAGCAGTGCTCGGGGCTTCCTGGCTCTGTGCTCGGGGGCCCTCTGCGGTGCCAGGGATGGCACTGGTCAGCCCCTGGCCCATCTCTCGGGCACCCTGCCTGGCCCCTTGGGAGCAGCAGCTCCAGGCAGAGAGCTGTCAGCTCTGCTCAGGTCTAGGACAGGCGGACGCGGGAGTCTGGTCCAGGGGAGCCTTTGTCTCTGCAGAGAAGAGAAAACCATGGGGTAAATGTCTGTGCATGCCGTGATCCTTGTGCGGGCTGGAAGATCAGGGGAAAGGGCCCTTCTGGGCAGCACGGCCGTGAGCGGCTGAGGTGACAATTTCCCACCACGGGTGCTGAGTTCAGGCCTCAGGAGCCAGAAGCAGATGTTGGGGGTGGCCCCGCGAGGCTCCGTGGCGGGACCACAGCCTATTCCAGGGGGAGCTGGATGCGGAGCAGCCCAGAGGGTGGGTCTTGTCCTGGCGACTCTCCCCATTCACCAGGAGGCTCACTCTGTCGCGAGCTCCTGTCTGTGGAGGCGGCAGGTGGAGCCTGTGCTCAGAACGCCCGCTGACCTGTTGGTGAATGGCCAATATAGGGGGAAGTGGTGGGTGTCAGCTGTGCTGGCGTCTGGGTGGGGACATCCCAGGGGGTCCCTTGGCCCAGAGGTGACATGGCAGCCTCCCATGAGGTCATCCTGGTGGGCGGAAGATCCTGGTGGAAGGTCTGCAGAGAGAGGGCCATTAGGGGCCTCTTCTGGGGCTGTGCTCGGGGGGTTCGAGCACCAGCAGGCCCTCATGGAGTCTCTCAGGGACTAACAGCTCAGCCTGGCTACTTTGGGGCTGTGGGCAGGGGTAAGGAGGGCAGCTCCCAGGCTAAGGGGAGCCCCACCAAAGTGGAGCTGGTGGGAATCAGTCAACGGGGCACGTGGGTGTGATGACCCATATCAGCTCTCCAGTCTCCCCGAAGCTTCTTAGAAGGAGAATGTTCTAGACATGCCCAGTGCTTCTGAGCTACTCCATGGGAGTTTCTGAGGCTCAAGAAAGCCCAGACCTTCGGGGCCTATGGCCAGCAGGAGCATCACAGGATAAAGTTGTTGGATAACTCTTCCAACTCATTCAAAGAATTTGAGTTTTCAGTTGTTTTAAGAATTGCAAGTGTATATGGCGAGGTGAAATTAGAGCATCTGTCCAGCAAGGGGCTTTAGCCTGGCTCCCACATGGGGGTCCCATAGCAGACACCCATCCTCACAGCTCTGGAGCTTGCGTGGTCTGTTATGGCACAGTCAGGCCACAGCCCACCTCCACTTGGCCTCACTGGACAAGGGAGGCGACTCTTGTCAGGCCTCCTCTCCTCCTAACTCGTACCCCTAAGCGCATCATGGAGACCCTTCTTGATGAACTCACTGCATCACTGTATCACTGTTATCCCATTGATCATTGATTTGCTCAAGCAGGCACCAGTAACATCTCCATTCGTCCCTGCTCTGAGATTTTAGTGGCCTCTCCTTACTCATCCTTCCCCACACTTTATGAACTCATCCCCCTGAGTTCTGCTCCAAAGATCCAGCTCCTTACACGCCCACGAGGGTAAAGCTTTCAGCTGGGCATTGGGGGACGAACTGGGCTCACCTGCAGGCTGCACAGTGCTCAGTCCCTGTGGAGAGTGTGTTTATCAGACACTTGGAGCTGACCCATATATTATAAATATGTAAATGTCTATTCTTTTTTTCAATTTTTATTAGTGAGACATCATGAGGTACAGTTGTAGACTTACAAATTTTTTTTTTTGCTTTTTGGGTCACACCCGGTGATGCTCAGGGGTTACTCCTGGCTCATGCACTCAGGAATCACTCCTGGTGGTGCTCGGGGGTCCATATAGGATGCTGGGAATCGAACCTGTATTGGCCATCTTGGCTGAGTGCAAGGCAAACGCCCTACCCGCTGTGCTATCGCTCTAGCCCCAAGACTTACAAATTTTTGTGCTTGGGTTTCAATTATACAATGATCAAATACCCATCCCTCCACCAGTGCCCATTTCCCACCCACGGATCCCAGTATCCCTCCCACCCCCATCCCCCCCATTCCACCCTGCCTCTGTGGCAGGGCATTCCCTTTTGTTCTCTCTCTCTCTCTCTCTCTCTCTCTCTCTCTCTCTCCTTTTGGGTCCTGTGGTTTGCAAAAGAGACAAGGGATGACAATCATGTTTGGTCTATAGTCTACTTTCAGCATGTTTCTCCCATCCTGGGAGGATCCTCCCAACACCCTTTATTTGGTGTTCCCTTCTCTATCTGGGCTCCCTAAATGTCTATTCTTTTGTGGGATCTCGTGTCTCCCCAGGAAACTTGGGCATGAAAACTGATACACCAAATCCAAGAAAAGATTTTAATCCATGTGAATTTAAGGAGGTAAATCACATGGAAAGACGAATGATGCCTTCAAAGCATTGGTGCCTTTGTAGCTGAGGTTTTAGATCTCTTGTGATTTTGGTCCATGCCGGGTGGTGTTTGGGGATATCTCCTGACTCGGTGCTCAGGGGTCACTCCTGGCAAGGGTTGGGGCACCCGTGGCTGTGCTGGGCCAAGGCAGTGCCTCACCTGCTGTGTGACCTCCAGCCTTGGTTTTCCATCCCACAGGCTCACCCAGAAGCAGGTTTCCATTTCATCCTGGTGAGTGCAGTGCCATTTTCTTTCAGCTGCTCAGGTAGCCAGAGGTGCATGTGTGTGCATTGGGGACAAAAAGACATGCTGCCACCCAAATCCTTTGCATTTAAACTGTTTTTTAGAACTTTATAAGCTGTGCGTTTGTGCAGTTTCATCTCTTATTTCCAGACACCGACTGGCTCCACTGAGTACAAAGAAACAAACACGCTTTTTCAAAAGGAGAACATTATTCCTGCCGAGGTCGGTAGCAGGTCATTAAGAACACAACTGGAGATTTTTTGAGGAGCTTTATTGCCGCATCCTTGTAAATGTAAATTTTGCATCTTTGATTTGTTATTCTCTTTTGGCAGCTGGTGATCTCTTCCTGCATAATTGCCATTTTTGTATTCTGCATTGATCTACACAGTCCTTTCGTTTATAAAAATCCGCAACAAAAATTTCCATGTAGAGGGAAATTCATTCTAAACTTGTTATAAATGTCCTTTTAGAACTTATGATTCTACTTTCTTAGAGAGAGAGGGAGGGAGAGAGGTGGAGAGAGAGAGGAGGGGGAAAGAGAGGGAGAGAGAGAGGGAGAGAGGGGGAAGGGAGGAAGAGAAGGAGGGAGGGAGGGAAAATACTTGCAAAGAAAATTGAAACAGGGAAACCAGGGTCATTGGCAGAGGGAAGGGGACCCTGGGGAAGGAATTGGTGTTGGAACATTGAATGCCTGACACTAAATCACAAATAACTTTATAACTTGGGGATTCAATACATTTGAAAATATTTGTCAACATAATACAAATCCAAAAATAAAAGAAGAACCTGTGTCTGGGATTTCCCTCCACCTCCTTGTCAGAGATGCAGGCTCCAGACTGCTGGTTCTTCCTGAAGGTCCCCCCCTGCCTCTGAGGGAAGGAATC